GTCTCCGTGCGTCCCTGGCTATCATGGCACTTCTACCAGATCAGCCAGACCTGGTTTGGTGTTATGAAGTCCTGCAGTGGTGGGATCTATTACATGTTCTTACTCAGGCGACTGTAATATTACTTCTCGATATTTCAATTGGTCCAATACCGACGAGGTCAGGTGAAAGGGCAGTTTCTGTTGAATCGTCAGACCTGGTTTGGACGAGGACGAAAAAAGGTCTTTCTTGGCTGCATTGTCTGGGAAGGACTTCAGAGGCCGCTCGACGGGCATTTCAGTTCTTCAGCAGCTGTATTGGTCGCATAGCTCCAGCTAATGACCTCGACCTGAGCGGCATCCCTGCGACGTTTGGATCATTTCAAACCTCCCGCGATCCGAACTTTCCATGGCTTCGAGACTCTCCCGAAGAGAATGCAATGGCGCCTCAGCAAGAAGTGCAAGCCTTGAATGATCGGGAGTTTTCCAAGTGGATGGATTCACCCAATTTGTCTAGGTATGGCAATATACACGACGACACACGAACTCAGGATTCAGAAGAAACTCCGTCTTCTTTGAGTATAATACCAAGTACCTCAGCAGTGCTCGACGCTGACACAGATATGTCGGAGCTCATCTCAAATTCCGATACCAGCATCGACGATTTGCTGATGTCCATGGCGGGCTCTAATGCGTCCTGGACCGCGAGTTCCGGCAGCCTTGAGTCTCTGGAACAATTGCATACATCAGAAACATATCTACAGTAGCCAGGGATATCATGAAGATGACGGCGCAGGCTGCGCGTCTATTATCATTTTTTTCAAGTGATACAAACCTTCCTGCATTAAATGTAGCGCCACCGTATTTAATAACCTAAATTTTGCCATCTGCGGCTTCTTACCACCGTAGCACATCTATGGCTTTTGTCGTTGCTTTCGAACTGCCAATGCTTTTCACATTACTCTTCTTTGCTTTGATTACCAGGTTATTCTTTCTGTGGGTCGTCCAAGGTGATTGGCCATTTCCTAAGATGGACTTGGTAATGTACGTCTTATCTTCTTTTGCCCGCCGTTTTGACAGGGCTTTTCTGGAGCAAGAAGCCATCGATGTGGATCCAAATCTTTCTTGGGATTCTTTCAGTAATTCCGTACACACAAACTGTACGCCTCAGATTAATAAAAAGGCTAGTTCTAAGCTAATACTGGCTCAGTTTCTCCGCATCGGTTTTCAGCAGCTCAAAAATCCATTCACAAAACGATCAACACGTATCGCACTCCGAGTTTATGCTTTGGCCTCTACGATCTCAAAGGTATTAGTTACATATTTGGGGGCATTTCTGCTACATAAAATTCACTGCATCACTCTCTTCCTGCTTTATTTGTATTACTATTTTGAGATCGCATGGTACTTGTGGTTAACCAAAGGCGCCACACAGGGCCGGAAAAGGCTGCATCATCTATCAAGCGTGAGCTTTCTATTGCTAGAGGCTGCTATTCTTGACGCAATTTCGAGGCTATGGATGATTGCCCTTGAGGTATTTTTTCGAAGCTTTGAGCCTACGTGATGGGAGAGCTAACGATATCAAGGTCCAGCTTATCGTTTGCACCATGTGGGCAGTGTACAATCAGTTCGTTGCGTGATGTGCAATGAAGGGTTCTATATACATCCTTTGAATCAAGCTGGGTTATAATTCCAAAATATCAGCCAATCCGAATTGTAATCGCCGAATTAATCATACCGTTGGTCCTAATGGCGAGGGCCTGGAAGTGGAGAGGGAGGGTGAATTGGCTGTAAATCTTGGTTATAACTCTCCCGTGTGAGCGAAATTTGCATTTACCAAATGATAATTGTATACAGGGGGCCAAGCCAAGGACAAGCCAAGGACATGCCGTGGAAAGCTGTGATCCTATAAAATCAGCCCGCTTACTTCGATCTCCGTCGAAAGCCTAGCATGGAACGATGGGATGTAACTTCAGATACTTACAATGTCACAACCGACTCAAACAGCAATCTTATAGGCACTGTACAATTGTCAGTTTCCAATTTCCAGAGCTTCTGAAAATGTAAGAAAAGGAAAGTTGGCAAAAGCAGGCGGGAGAACAAGGGACTGTTGTGATACGGGGGCTGCGCATGTCAGGACCATGCTGCATTATAGCTCGTATCTGCTTGACATTTTTTAGAAAGGTCTGATAAACTTACTCTGATATTATGAGGTATATACCAACACTGAAATGAACATGACCAATTCTGCGGTTGGGCTGGTAGGTAGCCAGAGATGCAACATGGCTGAATGTTAGTATAATTTCGACGGGGCTTTCTTTGAGTAGAGTAACACGCTCATCATCGGCGAGTGAAATGAAATGAATGACATGGCCTATTGCCGCCACAGCCATTGCAATAACATACGGACCCATGGTGGTGAATGTTGAAACACACCATCGATCATTTTCTGCGGCATTCTCAGAATTGTTTAGATACCAACAGTGAGAAAAGGGTTTTTATAAACTGTATCACCAAAAATAAAATGCAATGCCTCCGAATGCAGTGTTGAATCAATGATGGAACGTTGAACCAGCCGCAATTGGAGAGCCATCTGTGTTTATTCCCTCACAATTTATAATGATCATTGCGTCGATGCGAGCAGAATTCCTGGCTGTAATGCTATAAATACCCGATCCCTCGCCAGGAGAACAGTCGTTCGCAAGCATTCCTTTGTCACTCTGGTTCAATAAATGTCGGACGCCTTTTGTCTCCGCAGGCTACTCTTTGGTATGGACTGACCCCGAATTGTCATGCAATTATGATTCAACTGACCTGTTGTATCACCCCGGGTTGTCTACGCTCGATATGGAAGTCTGAGAGCAGCAGATGAGTGCAGCTGCTCAGTCGTTTGGAATAGTGCTGACATAGAAGATGCTTAATATCAGGCCCGCCTCCGCCACTCCTCTAAGAACCCATTTGACGGACCTTGGATAACCTCAAAGATGATCGAAGCTGCGAATACAGTGAGTTATGAGGTGCCCTGATAAGCTACCTACTGATGATTAATAATAGATCGAATTCAGCCATTAAGCAGTCGCTTTGACCTTGCCAGAATGCAGCGGATAGCAACAGCTAACAACGTAAGTATTTATAAGCAGTAATTTGGAGAGTATTCACCCTGTGCTGACAGCTTCTTGTATGGGAAAGCAAATTTTCTATCACGAGCCGCTCAATGTCTTGTAAGTCACCTTAGTGAGTTGCCTTTACCTATTGCCATGACCGGTGCTACATTTCTGATATCAGTGCAGATGCTATCTACTTGAGGTTTTATCTTGTCGTGCTCTCTGTCCTTCGGAAAATGTTGCTAATGTCTCTTTCTTGCCGCAGGACAAATGCCAAACTGGCACTCACCACGACCGACCCGCACTTTCCCATCGCCCTCAAATCAAGGATGCATGATTGTCCAGGCCACTGACCCTCATTGTGTTTCTGCTTTGCTGTTTCAGGACACTTACTCGAAATGCCCATTTCGCTTGTCATTATAGAAAGAATCCAGGGAGGCTCAGTCCCCTTCGATCAGCATATGGTAGAGTTCCAACATGTTTTTATCTCCCCCGGCTTCATCCTGTCCGACCAAAGGTTAACTGTCATTATATTAGCTTCCGTATCCTGACAGCCCTGCACCTCTTGTCCCATGTCCGATTCGAAGCCTCGACGACGGCATCATCCGGTCCCATGCTAGGCCGAGTGAGCTATCGCAGCATCCAGCGACGACGAAGAGAAGCCGAGCATCGACGGCCCCCGAGTAAGACCATGGTCTCTCCGAGGACAGTATCAACCAGTAAGGAATTGAGCTTCTGGCCACAGTCTGAGGAATAGCTCTGTCAGACCCGGTTGCAGCTGAGCAAGTGACGACGCAGGCCGCAGCACTGGATCTACCCCAGATCTCTCGCCGCGAGAGCAGTCGTTTCAGGTCAGTTCCTAATTTACCCTAGATCAAATACCATGAATCTCTCCTCCAGTGAAACTTTGTCCTGACACGTTTGAAGATATGCCTGGCGCACGAACAGCAAGTACGGAACGGCTATGCATTGGAAGATATGGCCCACATCCATTCCCTGCGGTACGGAGTGATCCCGGGCCCTCCTAGATCTTGGATCGGACGCATATTGTAAACACATTTGCAGAGGTAGTGGCCATATCACGAATGGTGCAGTTGGCGGACGGCTTGATCCCAACGCAACCAGGGAGATTCTGGGAAGAAGGAGCGGGTCTAGTAATAGGACTGCATGGGTGTAATAATTTATCACTTCTGCTCTGCTGTTGACATCTATCCTTTGGGGGATTACCGCAGTAACCCGGACTTCTTCGTTCTGGAACGCCCTTTGAAGGCTTGTGAGGGTTGACTGCAGCTGCCCCATCGAGAGACCAGAGGAGAATATTGGTGACATTCTTAAATGTTCCAGCATGGCAGAACAGAATAGCTCGTCACGTAACCAGATCTCCTTCGACTCGTAGCCCCGTATGTGGAGAGCATCAATACCCATGAAAGCGTAGCATATCAGAGCTGATGCAAGGTGTGGGCCTTCTGGGCTAAGAGAGTAACAGGTGCTGGAGTTTGGGTTCGAAGTCGAGGCGGCAAAGAGACCTGGCCTGTTATTAGCTGTGAATGACACAAATATTCGGAAGACTTTACAGGAAGTGTCATATCAAGATATGGTACATGTAGTACCGGAGAAGTGCTAGAAGGCCGCAGGCACCCAGGCTCGACCACATTGGCGAAAGTAGCACCAACGAAAATTGGAGGTAACTTCTACGACACCTCCTGAGCGCTCTTGTTTAGGCGATATTCTCCTATCCGTTAAGCCAACCATACAATGAGGTATAATAAATGCGGAGGAGGTGCAATGGCGTTTGAAGACAATGCATTGGTGATGAACATAAAATCTTGGGAAGAAACAACTTTCAGTACCTTTTCTATTCCTTTTTTTCTTTTGCGAGGATTCTTAACGAGACACGACAATTGGTAGGTGGTGGCTCATTTAACTTCCATAAGTAAAGGGATCAACCCGAAGGAAAACCGTGTGATTACTGGGATTTTCCTCCGGGCCCATTGTCCAGTTAGTCTGTGTAAATCTTCGTAGATGGTTATAGCCCCCACCGGTACTTCGCGGCCACCAAGTTGTATAACCGACCTTCGCTGGTGTCTTTTCAATCCAACTCAAACCGACTGTAATGGCCCGGGCTGCCTCTCGCAAATCATAAAGGATATACAAGGAAGTATAGGGTTCCATGGTGCCTGTTCTCCACTTGTCATTTTCGGCGCCAACTGACCAGCTCCTACCCTTGAGCTTGGAGTTGCAGTAGATACGCCATTTGTGTTTAACATTCTGAGCACCCGTGACTTCGAATAGTTGTTCGTGGAACTGGGGACAGATGTCGTGGATCTTCGTGCCAATGATTTTATTGTTGAGTTCCTGTGGCACGTGCCATTGTTCCGTCGGCATTGCCTTGAGCTGATCCCTCAGAATATCGATTGTTTTCTTATCTTCGTCAGACTGGATTTTGGACTTGGTCCGACAATCCGAGATATCACTATCGGCTTTGGCTATCTTGGAATGACAAGTCTCGTTGGCTCTTGCTGTCTCGTCGAGTTTCGCCCCAATGCTTTGCAGCTTCTCACTTGCAGCTTCTAACTCCGTTGTACAGAGAGAAAGGGCACCTTTGCATTTTGAATCTGGTGATAGAACTGGCGGTGTTGATGGACTGTCGATCTTATCCATTTTTTCGAGCAAAAGGAAGGTCGGCGAGCTGGCAAGAGTATGTTTGTCACCACGGCCAAGATAACACATCCCACTGGCACTATTCTTTTTCCACATGGCTACTGTAGCCTAAGGATCGTCCGCACAGTATTGGGCACATATATGGGCATTGCTCGCCTTTTTGGACTCATATTGACCGCTTGAAAACTTTCCACAAGTGTATCTGAACTGAAAAGTGCCAACCGACTCTGTGCCGATTGACGGTGGTTTGGCACAACACACATTCCAGCTAGCATCGCCCTGGACATCTGACTCAGCAAGACATTTGTCCTTCGAATCGAGTGGTATCTGGTTTCCCAGGACGAAATAAACATGGAGCGCAAAGAACACGAGCCGTTGCGTGATCATGGCGTAGATAATTGTGTTCAGATGAGGTGGGCGGGCGAAAAGAGTAGCTCGGATCCTACTGGGTTGATCCAGCGGAGCATGCTTTCAGGTGGTGGAATCGTATATGTTGCCTTGTACTACCGGGTGAGTTGAATAATGTTTTCTCGCAATTGCCCGAAGCTTACCTATTCTAGCTGGGCGCATTTGGCTGGCTTGGTGGTGACAGTATCACATCCAATGGCACTGCCAATGCAGCACTACACGATCAGCTCTTCGCCCTTGACTGGGTCTAAAAGACCATACACCTATTCGGTGGCGATGCGACCCGAGTCATAGTCATGGGAGAATCAGCGGGAGGCGGATCCATACTTCACCAGATCACAGCGTACGGAGGCATCCGAGGGCCATCCCATTCAGACAGGCCATCGTGCAGAGCCCCGGCTGGGTACCAGTCATCAGCGAGGAGCAGCAAGAGAGTACGCTTCAGCAGTTCCTAGGGATCTTGAACGTCAGCACGATCGAAGAAGCCCACAAGCTACCGTCAGCTAGGTTGATTGCCGCCAATGCTTACCAAGTATCAACCAAACCCGAGTGGGGACAGTTCACATACGGCCCTACTGTAGACGGGACATTTGTTCCTGCTTTGCCAGGCCAGCTCTTGCTCGGCGGTGACTTCGACCACAATCTCAACATCATGGTTGGTCACAACGCCGATGAAGGACTCATATTTACCTCCCCGGATAGCCTGAACGGTAGCAGCCTGATATCTCAGTTTGCGAGACTATCGCCGAACACCCCGAAGAATGTATCAGAATTCATCACGGACGTTCTCTACCCAGCGGTGTATAACGGCTCCTACGGGTATACCGACTCGGTGCAGCGCACCGCACTGGCTATCTCGGATCTCATCTTCCAATGTAACACCGACTACATCAACCCGGGCGTTCTTCAATCAGACGTATTCGTATGAATTCAGTATCCCGCCCGCACTAAATGGCCAGGATGTCCCGTACACGTTCTACAACAATGGGTCGTCTAGTGCCTCTTCTGGGAGTTCCTCTTTATCCTCGATCGCTAGTTTGACAGTGACGTTGGCCATGTAAGACTTTTTCACGAGCTTTGTTCAGCATGGCGTGCCAAATTCCCGCTTGGCGTCGGCGTTCAGGATGCCCATTCGTGGGCCCTGATGAAGCCTAATGTAGATTTATAAGGCAGAATGGGACTAGCAGATCAACATAAGAGGAAAGGACTACAGTGCAATTTCGCTGAACAAATAGTCCCGGATTAACGATATTGTATTTCTTTTAGATAGATCTAACTCTCACTAGTGCAACCTCGCCCATTCTATCAGATCTTAATGCCATCCATGAGAAGCCATGGAGCTGGTTTCGTGCGGCGTCGGAGTGGTACTAGTTTTCCACTGACTTGGGCTAGTTTCCTGTGGCTGTGAACTTGGTTCTGCCAGCTTCGTACAGTCATTCTGCTGAATGGTTCGAATGCATACCCTGTGGCCGACTTGCATGTTGTCGCAGTAGGGATGAATGGCAGGGTTTAATATGAGAAAGGTGGTCAAATCAAGCCCTGGATGCATATTGACAACGTCGTTACAAGTCTCTGGAGGAGCTCGAAGTTGAGGTAAGTACCAAGTAATACCTTGCGTATGGTCAGTAAATCATTTGAATGAATGACAGAGTCGTAGTCCAAGGATCATTTACAGTCTCCCACTTGTTGAGCTTTAAGCTCACCCGTCAGTAATGAGGGGTTCGCATTCACGGCGGCCGAAAAGACAAAGCCCAGCCCCACAAGAAGAGTTCGGATATTATCGCCATTATATTCAGTCAGAAAATTGAAAGTTTAGAAGAGTGAATAGCAACAAGTAATGGCGTCTTAGTAGTAAGCGAACTTGTGTTGAAATGTATCTACTTTCTTGGGTCAGGACCTATAATTTATATAAGGTACTTAGTGTCACAACATGCCTTGCCGTCGTGGCATTCCATTGCATTGCCGGTGGTGCTAGACGGGAGCCAATTCCAGGATAATTAATTTGTAAATCAAGTGTTGAGAACGGCGCTCGATAGACGCAACCGGTACAACGTAGGTTTCAATAGTATTTAGGCTGACCGTCCTAGAGGCCGCCTTTATTACCTGCTATCCAAAATTACTAGTGTTCCCCATAAAAGCTTAGACCCGGCCGGTACATAGTATACTAAGCCTCTTAGCGCTGCAACCTCGCTACCCTGCCACCCTCATCCGTTGAAGCTATTCCATTCCACCCATATGAATGATTCGACCTTGACCATTCTTGGCGTTCAGCATGTAACCTAACAATATGTGATATTTATTTATATTTTATCCTTTACATCTTATGCTAGCAACACACCGGCCACAACACTAACACACTGTTACGTACAGTAACACTAAGTATCCTCCAGTGGTAGTCAAACTATTCACACACGCAATATCTCCCCTATCCCTCTTAATACATATCACGAAGTATAGATACCAACTGGGGCAGTAGATTTAAGATGTTCAAGCAGCAGAAGCAGTAACAATCAGAAGTATAAAAGGGGAGAGAGAGAGTAAGCAAGCGAGCGTTAGGCATAGAGGTAATTAGAAAGGAAGGCGGCGAAGGCGGCGTAGGCAGCGAACGGGACTTGGATGTAGCAGCCAGGTCCAAATTTATATGGAGAACGCTAGTAATTCTGGGACGCTGGTGTTACGGGCAGTCCCTTTTCTGCCAGCCAAAACTGCCTCAAATACCATTGGAACCTATGTTACACCGGTTGCGTCTATCGAGCACCGTAGTTGAGGTCGGCTAATGGGATAAGTAGTCGGGGCAATTGCTCAAAGCGACCTAATTAGTTTGGAACGGTACAATCCCTAGTTTGATATCCGAGAACTTGTATTGAAAAAGCTCTTAATGTTGTTTGAAAAGAAAAGAGGCATTTTGGATGGGTGTAAAAATGTGGCTAGCTATATCAAGTTCACGCATGCGGCATGCATATAAGGTGAAGAAAGGGTTTACACTCCAAGGACAGTTTAGGTGGACGCTTGCTACGGCTGGAATGGTACAATGGGACTAAAGTAATGTGAGCTTAGCGGTCGGCACTAATACTTATCCGTAAGATTCTTACGTATTCGTGTTCACATTCGTAATTTGCAAACCTGTACGAATGTTCGTATTCGCAGTATTGAGATAGGCACTTGGGGGTCTCCGAATTCCATGTAGAGGTGCTAACAAGATGTCAGCACTTACAGGTTCCGAACTGGTATGGCCCGGAGTTCAAGTGCGAAACTGTTCGAAGCAAGGGGGCGAGTGCGGAATTGTCAGCCAGAATGGTGTGAGCCTTTTCTATTCCAATTGCCACACTGCTACGAATAGACGCGAGTGAGATATTTTTGGCCCGTACGGGGCACCTACAGTTTAAACACGGTGATTTAGGTCTCCTTGACAGAGCTACAGCGCCATGAGGGCTGCAGGCGGGGCCCAAATGACCCGGTGGGCCAAATGAGGATGGTGGAGGGGCTGGTGGTATGGAAGATGAGACCGGAGTTGGATGACTGGTCTGGAATTGACAGTTCCGGGCGTACAGTGTTGTTGGAGGCGTCGTGAAGTAAAGGCGGAAAGCTTCAGAAGACCATCTTCCGAGGGCTTGGATGTGGTCACTTCTCAAGCCGGCATCGTGCGCGTGTTGTGCTGCCCCTTTTCTGAAAATATGACCCTTAAGTCCCGTGGTATCCTCCCCAGAGCATTTGAGCTTGGAGATAACCGCGCGTTGGAAGGCGGATGAGGTGAATGACCCGGAGGAGAGCATAAACAGAGGAGCAGTTGAAGGTTGTGAATCATGGAGGAATAGCTTAGAGTAGAAAGGCCCTCGACGGGGCAGGCCGCGTCGTTTGTCCCTGCAAGGACAACATTGACAACCTTCGTGGTTTTGGTCTGTCTTACTTCTCTTTAAAGTGGGGTAGACGTGGTCCATGGTAGGGGAGAATCTGATATCCCCTGGGTCAACTTGGTAGCAGCGAAGATTTGCGTATTCCTACGGTCAGCAGCTGAGTATGTAAATTCCCCGACCCGAAGAAACCCGGCGAAGGCGACCCGGGCAGCCACGGCAAGATTGAGATCATCTCTCTGGGACCCTGAGAGCCTTAGCGGCTGGGCAGGTAGATGTGAAATATTCCCTGATAGGGTTATGACTGAGGCGCGTGGAATTGGATTGCGAACTCGGTTTTGGTGCGGGGGTTGCAGCCGGCGAGCACCATCGATCATGCAATGAAAATGCTTGGCGTGGAGGTCAAAACCACTCGGGAAGACCGTTGTCGACGTGATACGCGCGGAGAGCTGAGAGCTCGGACATGGCTGTATCGGGCTTGACCGGTGGGCTCCTACCTGCGCCTGGCAGTCGTTCCGTGAGCCAAGTGTAGATCGCTGGTGCGGTTGCTGGCCACGGCTGCACTCCATTGAGGGCGCAGCTACGGGTGTATGAGCGCTGTGCAGAGCGGTATCCCTTTCTGGTTCCCTCTGCAAGACCATTCCAGACCAGCTTGGCATGGCCGACACTCACGAAAATAGGCTGGCGGGAGAACCAGGCTGGCGGAGCAAGGGAAAGGAGCTCGTCCACTGTGGTCAAATGTCAGCGATGGAACCACAGTCGGAACGGGATAATGCATCAGCTAGCATGTTCTCCGATGAAGGTAGCCAGCGTGGCTGGATTTCTATGTCAAGGGCGGCTGCTATGCTAAAGAGCATGAGCAGTTGGCGATGGGCCGGCCCGCGGAGTGCCTGCTTCGACAGGCCATGGAACGCGACGGCACAGTCCGTGAAAGCGAGGACACGATGATGAGCCCAATGGAGGCTGTGTAGAAGGAAGGCCTGCAGAATTGCGGTAACCTCCTTGGTGTTAATGTGGGCCTCGCTGGCGCGGGCGGAGGAGGCGTCCACAATAGCGGCGTGAGTGGAAGGCAGGTAAGGAGCTGCAGACAACCAGTCTCCGGCGGAGTCCCGCGAGGGCGCATAAAAGAAGAAGAGGCCCAGACCGGAGTCACACGCGTCTGTGTAGAGGGCAACTAGGGGGCGGCTCTTCTCGACGAAATAGATTCCGTTGAAAAACGGAATTGTATCCGTCCACCACGCGAAGTCCTCGTGGCTATCATGGGATAGGCGGCGGAGAGAGTGCTGGTGAGGTGGAAAGATGCGAGGTCGCTGTAGAGCGACTGGAGGCGGGGTCTGCCAAGACGAATGACCATTGAGCAGTGTTGGAGAAACCGACCACACGTTGCAAAGCTTTATGCGAAACACGATTTTGCCGTAATAGCGACGCAGCTTCAGAAGATGCGCGTGTTAGCTTATCGTGTGGCATGCGGGCCTGCAGAAGTGTCGTGTCGATTTCGACCCCAAGCACACTGATCACGGTACCCGCGGCGTCTTTGGCGTTATTCCTTGGGATGCCTAGTGCATCTGTAAGAGGAATATATGCGGTATTGAACTCGGCGATAGACCGAGAGACATCTCCTACAGAAGGAGGAAAACAGTGATGAAATCGTCAAGGTAATGAACGATGGAGGCCACAGGCAAGTAGGCAGTCAGAAGCCAGTTGAGACCCTCAGCAAAAAGGTTAAAGATGAAGGGTGCAGTTGCAAGACCAAATGGAAGGCAACACTCCATATATATCTTGCTATCCCACCAAAAGGCTAGGAGGGGCCGGTCGGCGGGTGCGACGGGGATATTGCGGAAAGCATCTTTGATGTCGCGTTTGATGATACAGCATCCTCGTCCAGAGGTGCGGATGAGATCGAAAATGTGATCTATGGAGATGTATTGTATGGCAGAGGCGGTATCCGGGATGGACTCGTTGACACTGCGCCCTGGCGGGTAGGAAAGGTCATGGATACGGCGCCAGCCTCCATCGTGTTTAGGCACGAGCCCTAGTGGGGACACAACAACGGGGCCAGTGCAAACTTGCACCCGACGGTTTGACAGGTCATCGGAGAGCTTTTGGGTAAAAATAGAGGGTTCCTCAATATGGTGATTAGATGTTCGGCGGTCTGTCGGCTGGCCCGTACAACCAAGGCGGCAGCCGAATGTGAGAATGCCGCTGCAAATAGTCCCTAGATCACCAGGGTAATGTTCAAGGAGAGTTTCCCACGCTGAACTGATAAAAGGGGAAGCGGAGCCACGCAGAGGCGGGAGGGAAGAGTCAAAGATCTTAAACTGAAGAGAAGTGTTGGGACGCGGGGCTGGCCAGCTGGTTGGCGGCGATAGCATTTGAAATATATCAAGGCAGACCGCGGCGTGGTCCTAACTCGCTGGTTTCACTTTACAGCTTATCATAGAATGGTCGCCACCGCACTTAGAGCAGACGTGCCTACGGTGACATGTTCGCCAGTGGCAGCCAGCAGAAGAGTTGAACTTTTCACAAATGACAGAATCGTTATTTGGGGCGGCGGTTGAGCGCGTTGACCGTGTGCTTGGGGTAGTCGGCGCCGTCTTTGCTGGGAGTACGTTGTCCGGACGTAGGTAGGAGCTTTCAAGAGCTTTCCCAATTCCCCAGTCACCAAGAGAAACGGTGAGGTCGCCTTTATCGACGACCATCTGGTGGTGGTCTAAGGCCATTTGCAGGATACACTCCTGCCACTTATATGCCCTGGCAAGGTCACAAATGCGGCGGTAGAAAAGGACCATTCCACTGATGCATAGTGAGTGCTTGGCAGCGAAGAAATCACACTAGATAGCGATATAATTGCTGAAGCAGTGGGCCCACAGGGATGCGTCATTACCCCAATCCTTGATTGAAAATACCTTGCGGAGGAGATGTGGACTTTAAGTCGAAGGACTCGCCATCCGGTGCCGTGGCTTTGAACTCGGGGCTGCGAAGTTTTATGAGGTCCTTCTTTGGGCAGAAGGTGTGTTCGAAAACGGCTATAATGGCAGCACGGTCGAGACCGGGGAAGCGGGGGAGGACTGGCACAACAAGCGACGGGACCCTACCGTCGTCGACATCCTCCTCCGTGGTGAGGTCTATACGTGGGCGCTTGCGCTGCCCGTCGCCCGCAACAAGGGAAGCGGACACGGTGGACATGAATGAATCGCGTTGGGTATCAGAGAGGGAATTCCAAATATACTCCGGTGGATAGAACGAGGAGCCCAGGGTGGTCTGTCCCCCAGGAGTAGTACTGGGGGCCTCGGAACTATGTCGCACCATTGCAAAAGGAACTGTTGAAGAAGAAACCGCTGCGAAGAGATCCCAACTCTCCTTCGAAACGGCGATGTTCCTTTCGAAGGAGAGGATATACGAGCAATATCTGTGTGCGATTACAAGCACGGAATATTGTGGACCCGACGCAAGGGGGGGGGCTTTCCGCAACAATCCCGAATAGAACATATCATTTATTCGTATTCGTGTGCAGCCCTACCGGCATCAATTAACGTCTCGGTATTACGCATCACGACTGGAGAAAGTTGCGGTGACGCTGCTTGGAAAAAGAGAACTGGGAAGGTTGGCGGCCTCAGGCACTTATCAATGGGAGGGTACTTGGGTAGAACGCGAACATGTCAGACCACGCCAGACTGTGATGACGAGCACGCCGCTCAGCTGCTGAGGTGTTTGATTGCGATCGACCTCAAACGGTCCGCTGTACCTGACTTCGGAGAAACGAGGTTGCCTTAAGGTGGAAAAGTTGTGGGGCGGTCGAATTCAAGCTCATTTACCGTCGCCGGGGTCTCCCCGATCTAAAGGTCTTCATGTGTTCCCCAACTATCCGAGACTTTGGGCGTGGCGAAGATTTGCGTTGGAATCTACCACTTAAAATCTTTGCAGTTCTGTCAGAACTTGGTTGACGGACATACTACCCGTCCATGTGAGGTTGCACTTCCGGCCGCCTACGTCCAAGATGACGCGCACAGGGCTACATACAGTGGAGCATGCTGAACGGAACTCATATAAACCCGATAGCACTTTGACGTCGATTTTGAGGATATATAGCTACCCGATTAACGTGATTTGACGGGTCGCCTTCATTGCTCGCCGCGAGGCCAAATATTACTTCCCCCCCCCCCTCCAATCGCCGAATAGGGTCCTCTCCCCACGGTCAAACGGATCTTCACGCAACGATGGAATCTTGGCATGGTTTACGGTTTTCGGCAGTCCAGGGATTTCGGTCTACCTATGACAAACTACACGATGAGGAGCGTCTGGAATTCGAATCCGTCTCCGAGTCGAGACAACGGCGTGAAATCTCTTGGGGTGAGTGGCCGAGGAAGGCAACGGGGTGATTTTTACTCTTGATAATAGACTTGGTAATCATTGTGGTGCTGCTGTATACACTAGAGCCTCTGATTACTCTGCTGTGTCTGAATGAGCAACTCTTCAGCCCTCGAGTTACCTTGCCAAGTCCTAGTGTCTCATATACTGCCAATGGAACAGTCAAATCAAATCGAATTCCCTTGGTCCTGCATCAGACTACCGCAACGGAAGAAATTCCAAAACGTTGGATACAGCCACAACAAAGTTGCAAGAAGGCATATTCAGAATTCGAATACAAGGTAAGTTTGCTTATGTTAATCATCGGAAGCCATGACTTAAAATTACAACAATCGCCATACTATATCTATCCAACCATCTCCATACCTTACTGACGTATGCTTCTAGCTATGGACTGACGACTCAGCGCGCAAGTTTTTGTCAGAGCACTACTCTTGGTTTGTCCCAATCTGGGATAATTATGCATTCCCTATCCAGCGGGCCGACTCGATTCGCTATTTTGTTTTGTATCACTTTGGCGGTATTTACATAGACATGGATACTGTCTGCAACAGTACTCTCCCAGTCCACAATCTTGGGTCGCCCAAAGTGAAAAACTACGCTCTTTTCAAATCAACCCGGCCCACAGGAATCACCAACGATCTATTGGTGGCGTCTCCAAGGCACCCCATCTACGCATCGGCAATCTCGAAATTGCCTGCCTACAATTTATTGACTCAGGGCTGGGCTCGACTACAGCCATATGGTGCTATCATGATATCCACCGGACCCTTATTTTTAACAATGGTGGTGAAGGATTATTTACTTGAGTCCAGTTCCCTTCAATCGAACACCGCAGGGGTCTTTAACCAAACCGAGCTCGCCCCTTATACAACTGATCTTGGGAGCAGTACTTGGCATCGAGCAGATGCAAGAATGCTCTTGTGGATTGGAGAGCGACCGTGGCTATGGTTCACTTTGGGAGCTTTTGTCCTCCTAGCTGTCCTTTACATGGTCGATCGTCTGTTACTGCTTGTCTGCGCTCGTTTTCGAAAGGGACCCTCAGATATCCAAGGAATCAAGTTGGACAAGGAGGCATAATTTGGGCCGTGCGAGGGTTAGCGATCGTAAAGTATTGTCTAGTTTTTGTAAATTTGTAAATTAAAGCATACAGTATATGGTTCCCCGAGACTGATGCAATATTTTCGAAGACTGAATTGTTTGAATGTAGACATTCTCACTTGCCTTTCATTGGGTTTTTGTGAAATAAACAAGACCCTTGCTTGTTTGCTCATTTACTGAATCGGATCTACCTTGAGGTTTACAATTGTTTGATTCTCTGCTCTCTGCTTATCAAACTTCCATGATTGTGGAATAAAGCACCCGTAAGCATTGCAAAATCTTGAAAATGCTCATGCCTCGCTACAGTAATCACTTAGATTGCCTCGTTTTCTTATAAGCTTTCTCTCTACGTTGAGCTCTCGCTGCAGTTGTAACTATGTATTCACGCAGCCTCAGGCCGTGAGGAGGTCCATATATTGCCCTAAAAGATTATTTGTTGTGATATGTGGCTGGTGTAGATCAGGAACCAAGCCGAACCATCGGAGTTTATCCCCAGGTATCTATACGAAGAACTAAGTTGATTTCCAAACAACTTCTTCTTCTCGTTGTTTACATAGCCTTATGTTTCCCTCTGAATAGAACAACAAAATTCATACCCCTGAACTACAAAAATCTGGCCGGCATCATCGGGCTCGCCCAGCACGAGAGGCGGATGCATGGCAATACGTTGAGTCCACGCGACGTAGCGCGTCGGCCCGGCTCGGTCGCTTCGGGTGTAATATTAAAACCGAACCTGCAATAGTAATGGCAATGCGCCAGTGTGGACTTTACCGCGAGTGATACTGCTGGCGACGGTGGAAAGGATCGGGAGCATTGACCAACCGCGCGAAGCTTGTGCTGGAAGCATTGCCTACAAACCTAGCGAATCGTCAGCCTGGGACCGACAACGAAGCGCCACTGATAAGATCCTACCAACCAGCTCCCGGAGAGCATTGGGTTATTGTGCCATCATTCAATCAACGTGCGGGGCTGCTTTCGGCGCGCTCTATCATAGAAGGTCAGCACAGAGCACAGGGAGGGTCTGCATTATCACTACTCTCACAGCTCGAGTAAGGTCTCAGAAGCCAGGCAATCGTACATACGTGGAATCGTTTCGTGGGAACTCTAGCGCGAGAGGCGAATCTTAGGGCATCTTTCAAGTCAGTATGGTGTCAAGTGCTGGCATCGATGTACATACCTGCCAGGAGCGTAGTTCTCCATCGAGCGTAGACAAGCTAGAGGCGGTATTGTGAGCGTCAGTACGATCACAAGTATGAGGGATCAGGTTCCGTACCACAGAAAGAAGGTCCAAGGTGCAGGCCATATTCCGATGCAGACCTGTGCGACTGGCTGCCATCTCGTCCTAGCACAAGGCATAGGCCAGACTCGATATGTTCAATCGCGTCAGTACAAAAGACGGGCAAGGTGGAAGAGAAACTGCTCGTGTCTTAGGGCTGGGCTGACTGGGGCGTGTTTTCAAAGAGACCGTTGTGCTTGGGTCTGGGGGAAATATTTATAGTGCTATGACCCTTGTCGCTAACACAGCTGTGATCGAGGGTCCGACCGAGTTGGCCCTCATATTGTGGTCAGTTGAACCGTTTCACTATTGAATTATGCTGCTTTGGGTGGAACCGAAATTTTCATCTCGATGAAAAACTATTCTGAAGCCTTATTCCAGGATTTCAACTTCGCTTCAACGTTCGTGACGCAGCTACCAAATCAAAACACCAACAAGGCACTGTGTCAACTTTCATAAACATGAGCTTCTACTAGTCAAAACAAATTCTGCGGCATCATTTTGTTGTTCTCAACGATGATAATTGCTCATTTCAGTAATGAATATTTGACACCCAACATCGTGTGGATAAATTGGTGCAGACTCATCGACCAGCCTACATTTGGTATGATGTTGTTGGGCTGTTATGTTTTCCTGCTTCCATTGGCATCAGTTTCTGCCTAACATGCTATTGTCAAGGTGTTGGTTTGCATAAAACATCGTATTCAGAGGCCCTGCAAATAACGCTGGTTTAAAAAATAATTTTTCTAGCGATAAGCATGGTCGAGCCTATCGCAAATGGAGGGAGAGCAAGTAGAAACCGATGGACAGATGCGGCATTTTTGAGCGTCGCGTTGAATATTTTCATGTCAGCCTCCTCTAAAATATCACATATCTCGAAAGTACCACGCAAGCACTCATGCTGCGATCTTTTTCCGTGAATCCCTTTTGCCGGTTCATCCAGAGTCTGGGTGATCATCCTGGGCCGCCTGCCAGACCGGCAATCAAGGCGGTGAAAGAGAACCTCCCAGGTCCCTATGCGATCATCATCCCAAGGTGTTGTACTGTAGTTCAGAGGTATGAATTGAGTTTTTTTTATTTAGAGAGAAATATGATGCTATATATACAGCAAGAAGGGCAAGTTGATTTCCAATCAACTTGGTTGTTCGTATAGATAGCTCGGGATTAATTCCGATGGATCGGCTTGGTTCATGATCTGCTCCAGCCTCATATCACAACACAAGGCTTGTCTCCAAGAAACACGATGTACCGAACCAGCCGCCTCAGGATCCCAAGAAACACTATTGATGCTGGTTTGAGGCTCTCTTAATTGGTAGGGCTTCACAAGAACAGTGGCCTCCTGAGGAGGTTATCCTAGAAACAAGGCCCCCCTCAAAAGAATATTCTTGTCTTCATCAGCTCTCCAAGAAGGACTTTCCAGAATCCAATGATTCACATGAAGAGGAATCCTTATTTCACCGCGCACGACCAGACAAACTGGTACGTCGCTCTCCTGAACGTCACACAACGTGGGCAGCCATTGAAATCAGTTTCTCCTCTTTACCTAGTCCTTCCTCGGTCGCAATGATTTTCTCTTCACGCGCGGAAATCAAGAATATCGCATTGATATCATCCGCTGATGCCGCGCGGCAACAGTGGACTGGGCGTAGGCTCCTGAGGCTCACATAATAGAGTGAATATCCTTTGCATGAGTACTTCGTGCGACACGCTCCACGGGCGAGGGATCCGAACGGTCTATGCGGAGACAGTCTGATTGATTCCACTTATCTCGTTCGAGTGACCAGAAATCGATCTCGATAAGCTGTTGTGTAGACTCTTGGTCGTTGGGAAAAGCAGTTTGTGGTGTAATGTGTTCGGTGTCTCTGTACATTGCTTTCGCTTGCTGATAAGCAGAGGTTGGCAGTGACGAAGTCTGGGTATGATCTTGTTGAAGCAACTCTCCAGGCGAAGTTTGATTGTTATAGAGCAGATTGAGCTCTTCGTTGAGCCGGTCGCTCTCCATTCCTTTTTCCGGCTCCTCGTGCTCTACTTGGGCCCTGCTAAGCCATCGAGGAAAGCCTCTAGTTCTTCAGACCTGAGAGGGACGGCTTTCTTCTGACAAAGCTGCCGTCTCTGATGAAGATCACCGCTGTGCTGCAAGGTCGATGGGTATCTGAGCAGCGATGCCAAGTACAGATGCAGTGCCTGGGTTGAGTTCCTCTCCTGTTCCTCTTTCGTCCTGACTGCATTCAAGTGGGACTGTTTCCAACGAGATGTCAGGGACTGGGTAAATCCCGAACCAAACATTTGGTCTCGTGATATACACCTAAATTCGAAATTGCATTCCATCTTTTACAGAGAAACTATCTGGAATCCTAACGCTAGGACAATAATGGATCAGGCCATACTGTTTTGAGCGACGATGTGGATCCTAGCCCCGGACTCCCTAGCCAGAATCGGAATGGCATGTCTTGACTAAGGGTTCTAGAGCAAATTTCTATGTGTAAATCGTGGAAGGCAATTTCGAATTTAGGTGTATCAGTCTGACGTACTCAGGCAATACGTGGCGACTCTTCTAGATAAATTTGTAATCGAGGGCACAATAAAGAATTCCATATGCTTTCCGACTCCTCAAATCTCACAACTTTCAAAAGTCACTCGGTAGGTTCAAACAAGATAGTCCTTCATATTGTAGATAAGCATGGCAATTCCATTCACGAAGAGAGATTACGTTCTCCACCATGATAAGTGGCGGATCACACGAAGGGAAGGTCAGTAAAATGTGGCAGGTGAATCTATACTCAGGCAGCCTAGAATCAAAGTAAGATGATTTATCAACATACTGCGGGAGTCTACTTACGGGAAATTGTTACGGACTAGCAGCGGGCAGAAGAACGATCAGTAAAGTATACTCCTAAGGTCAGCAAGGCGTGTCACAATCCTCCGAGAGCGAAATTTCATTGAAATAGGCACTTAGGTATCGCTGCTCAAGATAGGTGGGGTTTTGCACATAACACAGGGACTAGAGATGCAAAATATCATAAATCGATGCTTATCGATCTGGGATCCTTGAAGCTCGATTTCTCCAATGTCGCTTGCGAGCAGCACCATAATGGTTATAATGGGTGTAAAGTTCTATTCCTCTTACTAAGGAATTATTAATTGGCCATGCTCTTATGGTCAAGTTTGTTCAAGTTAAAAGAGTAAAAAGACCCCGTCGTTGGTGGTTGATGGGTAGCTAGAAACTTGCGGGGGGGGGGGTTCTGCGTGTACTACCCCTGCTACCATAAGTAAATTCCCATTCCGACATCATTTATTACCCTCTGCTTTTGTTACATTGTCTGACTTCTGCATAGCCTTGGCATTTTTGTTTCCCTTTCTCCACCAGTAGAGAACCCCTCCAGCCCCAGCAGCAAGAGCCCCCCATACCCTGAAAACAAAAGAGCCACCTTAGTACTTTCAACGCCAAATGACACGTTTTATAGACAAGCAGGCAGCGAAAACTCACCAGAATGGCGTCGGACTGCTATCTGTGCGCTCATTTGGCAAGGAGGCGAAAGTTCTCCTGTGATCATTACGTGAGGCTCGGAGCTTCGCAGCGGTTGAGTTGTACTGTTTTGCGCCCACTACGCGAGTAATAGAGTGGCGGATGAAATACATTTCAGACGGTAGTAATTGATAAATGCGATTTAGTAAGAGTGCCTTGTCTGGCTCAAATCCTGGGGGACCCGAGCTCTATATGTATAGTATAAGGTTAGACCATGACATCATGTTAGTTCCATTACGATTTTCGAGAGTTTTCAAGTCTAGCTTCCTGTGACTGGTAATATATCAGGTGATAATAACCCCTGGATATACTGTCAAAACTATGATCTGGTCAATACTGCAGCAATTGTTTCGAGGATGACTATCCTGGTTTGCGGTCTCATGTAGTAACAGATCCATGCGATCTGGAGCAGAGTGACTCGTTATGATATCATCACTTTTAATTAACCTGCAATTTGACATATTGAGGGAAGGCCACCACCCGAAGACCTGCGGTCGGCCACCTCTTTTTGCTCTTCCCCCGTTGCACAGCTGACTACCTCAGCTCTCCTCAACCCGACCGAGGTAACCAAGCAGTCCTCCGTCTTGCCGTCGTTTGCCTGCGCAGAGCGGCCGGATTTGTTTCTGCAGTTGGATTCGGGATAGCCTGCATCATAAGGTAGAATTGACTCATTGAGATCGGTCTTCCGGATTGTGTTATGTGTGCGGTCTCTCTCCAGGTGTTATATCACCACCCATCTCTGCCCTTTTTTGAGTTAGAGTTTCGCAGCTTGGCGCACATGGCGTATATAGGTTTCTCTGAATGCGAGAAAGTCCGTTTCCATGGCTTTCTGGCGAGCTTGGTTCCCAGTTCCATGCGCGTCAGTGAACCTTGATGAGGTAGGTCTTCGATGAACTGCGTCTACCAGCTTTAACGAAGTTCGAGTCAACGCATCTCGTACGAAGCGACCACAGACTGTATGCAAGCTCAGAGGTGTCCTGTCTCCTTCATAGGGCGATACCACTTTTACTGGTAATGTATTCTGGGCTCGAGTGTGAGACGAGTAACTAAACGAAGTTAGATGGGTTTGGTATTTGATGCCCTCTGGTTTTGGTGTGGTTGTGCGGTCGCGATCCCCGGAGTTGGCTCCACTGGCATAACCAAGATGGATTCCTTTGGCCTCCCCAACGAGGGATTAACACCGGGGCATCACGAGAAGTTATGAATCCATTGTCCCAACAGCCTTGCTAGGACTGCCGCCCAATGAGATCTCACTAGGGGCTATGCCACGCTGTAAAAAATCGAGGGAAGTCATTATGCTTCTAAATCATCCACAGTAGTTAGTCCACCTTGTCTCAATCCTTGTATTATAATTCCAGTTGACATCAGACTGATCTCTTACCGGATTACTATTGGGTGATATAAGAGTGATGAAGCGGTGGACGGTGCATGTGATGTTCGCATACTTTTCAGAGCCAGGTCATCTGAGACGACAATTAAGATATTTGGTTCGCGACATTGGTACCCGAGGATTCGACGGATTTCTAGAGACGTGCACTTACATCATTCGCCTTGAAAAACCAGAGCAGTAAAACTTGGTGGTCCTCTAAACGATTCGGTTCGGCTGCTGTCATGTGAAATCCAATACTACGAGACAGGCCGTCGATGGCCGGCGCCATTGCTTGGTTTTCTTACCTATATAATAGCCTTTTGGACACTCGCCCACGCTTTACGGGAAAAGGAAAAGTGTCTAACGACGAAACTCAAAGTGGCAAATCCGCGATAAAATCCACAGACAATCAATGGCGCGTAGCCGAGATCCTAAAGATGTACAGGCTTGGCTTATTGGAAGCGGGATCGCTTCCATGGCAGCCGCGGTACATCTGATCAAGCAGGCCAAAGTCCCGGGACTCCAAGTTCATATCCTCGACATCCATCAGGGCTGTGGGGGAGCGATGGAGGAGGTCTCCGGTAACCCAAGCGATGGCTATGTCCTTCACACGGGCGCACAGCCGTACTTCCACGAAGATTGTGTCGAAGAGCTCCTCGCGATGGTTCCTAGTCCAGATAATCCAGAAAAGACTGTCCTGGATATCATCAAAGATTACGAGTTATCCGGGAGACCAGACAACAAAGCCAAAATTCGCGCACTTAGGCCAGGCGAGGGAGAACAGTCTCCCGAAGTGGACGTGCATCGGATGCAGATTGGGGCGAAGTTTCGGATGGAGCTCATCACATTTCTCCTGGACCGTGAAAGGGCGTCCGACTCAAGGAAGATCAATGAGGTATTTGACGAATCGTTCTTTAGGACAGAATTCTGGGCACTATGGTCGACTACGTGAGCACCTTGAGTCTTCTTCACAATTTGTTTCCCTTGGTACTGACTCGCCTTTAGTTTTTTCGTCCAGCCATGGCATAGTGCGACCGAGTTTCGTAGACTTCTAGCCAAATACTTGCCTAAGTTGCAGACTCGCAGTGATGTTCCTGAATTGGAGAGAACGAGATTCAGCCTTTATGAGACTTTGATAATCCCCATCACTAAATTCTTAAAGGATCAAGGAGTTGACTTCCGATTCCATGCGATGGTCACCGATCTCAAGTCGTATCCGTCTAGCGACCCAACAACTATCTCGGAGATTATGTTGGTTGAGAACGGAAGAGAGGAACTTATCACGGTAGATCCATCTGACATTGTTATCGTGACGTTAGGGTCGATCTCTACCGGGATGCAGATAGGGTCTAACAAAGAGTCTCCTTCGGAGGTGTCAGTGGAGAGTGTATATGATGGGGGATGGTCTCTTTGGAATAAACTCGCTCAGCAGTCGACCAAATTTGGCAATCCTTCTAATTTCATCACGCGGACGGATGAGACAAAAATCGAGACCTTCACCGTCACTTTTCGGGAATCGGACTTCATGAAGTATTACTCGCGGCTCACTAAGGGCAAACCGGGTACGGGTTCCCTACTCACCATTGTAGGAAGCCCCTGGTGTTTGAATATTAGCATTCCTCACCAGCCTGTTTTCGCGACGCAACCAGACATTGTTGACGTGATTTGGGGATACGGACTACGTCCAGAAAAAATCGGGACATATGTGAAAAAACCCATGGAACAATGCTCCGGTGCAGAGATCCTCGTTGAGCTACTTTCTCATATGAAGTTCCCCGTTGAACCACTTCTCGCATTGGCCACGACAATTCCCTGTTTCGTTCCCCTGGGAACTTCAATGCTATTGACACGGGTTCTTCACGATCGTCCAAGTGTGATCCCGCATGACACAACGAATGTCGCCTTCATCGGGCAGTATGTTGAAATTCCCGATGACACCACCTTCAGCGTGGAGTACAGCGTCCGAGGAGCGCAGACGGCGGTGTCCCAATTAATGGGCCGGCCCAAGGAGCCCCCGAAAATAAGCAAGAATGTTCTTTTGGAGGTCTTTCATATGGTAGTATGAGAAAAAGTGTCGTAATGTATTCACTCTTTGCTGACTTGTACGGGGAATCTTGGATGTTTAATTTTAACTCTCGGCTTTTATGTTACCGTGATTTTGGGTCAGTAATTGTAGTCAGAATGAAAGGACGGAATATCAAACTGGTGGGAGCAGAATGACCTCGTACCCAAAAATACTTTTTTCAGTAGCTTTCATTCAACTATCATCTTCCAACCTACCTACCAACCCTAGGCACGATATATGTCAGATCGCCGCATATCTGTATCTAACCTATATATCAATGCAATCACATACCCGAGCTCAACTGGAACAGAACATACTTCGATGGGTTGTGGCAGATGATGTAACTTAATATCTCCGTATACAGTAGTATCTTGCGTGAAACGAGCACATCTTCGCGTCCAAAGTGGCCCCAAAGCGGGTTTCCGGGTCGTTATACATTTCCTCCGACAGTGGCTTGACCGGGCTGGCAAAATGCTCTAGAACACCATATCCGGACAATGATAAAATTGGGAACCCCATCTATCGCTCAGAAATATAATTGGGCAAAGCGGGTTGTTTGCAGGCCTTGAGGAAATAGATAGTAACACCAAAAGCAATGTAGGCGGCAGGACTTTTTCTCCGTAGCGATAACAGAAAACAATCAGAAAAAAAGAGCTTTCAAAATGGGCAGATCTGTCATTGCGCATAGGCACTCGCATACATGCAACTCAGACCTCGATCTCGCGTCGAACCCGAAAAAAAGAGAGGATGACGACGACGTTAACACCATTCGAAGTTTGATCAACAAAAATGTGCTCATGATCAGCAAATATAATGCAATGAGATGACTGCTGTTGTACCACCTCCTGAAGTGATAAAGTACAGGCCCATGTTGATGAATGTTGAAACGTGTCGTCGGCGCTTCTCCGCGGTACCGCCGTCAGTGTTCAAACGGTGTCAACAGTGAGGGAAAGTTTTGATAGACTCAATCATCAAGAGAATCTTTAATATTTCCGGACACTACGTATTACCAACGACGAAATGTTGAACCAGCTGAAAGTGGAGGACCAGCTATGTTGACGCCATCACAATATGCAACGATCATTGCGCCGACTTAAGCAGAATGACTGGCTGCAATGCTATAAATACCCGATCCCTCGCCACCAGAACAGTTATTCTCAAGCATTGTATTGTCAGCTTGCGGGAAACAACATCGAACGCTCCTCGATTTCGCCAGCAACTTTTCTGTACGGATTGACCCGACCCCGAGCTGTCATGCACTTGTGATCGAACTGACGTGTTATATCGCCCCTGGACTGTTTTTGCTTGATAGTGAAGTCTGTGAACAGGAAGTAAGTGTATTTTCCCAGTCATTGACACCACGCTGATGTGGAAGATTCTCTGGATAAGCCCCGTCTCATCTGTTCCTCTAGGAATCCAATTGACGGTCCTTAACCGCCTTGGGAATATCCCGGCTGCCAAGATAGTGAGTTACGAAAGGCCTTCGTATTCCACCTACCTGTTACGCCAACCATACAAAGAGGTATAAGGAATGAGGAAGAGGTGTCTATGCACCACCAGAGCCCCGTATTGATACATCACCTCGCTTACCTGCTTTCATACGCACGGAAGCATCCCCTCAAAAAGAGAGTGGGATCCTCTTAGGAGGACCAGCGATTAGTCTGAATATCACCATACCCATATCAGGCGTATCCCACATTCTTCACTCGTATCCCCATCGTATCAGGACGCCCGTAGGAGATTGTCCTAACACCACTAATGATTTTTCATAGATCGAAACCATCCAATACGCAGCCGATTTGGCCATGCTAGAATGTCGCACGCAGCAGTAGCTGGCAAAGTAAGTTTTGGTCATAATGGCAGTTTCGAGAATATAACCCGTGCTGACGACTCACTGTATAGGGAGGCAACCATTTTACCATAAGCCAGTCCATATCTTGTAAGTTGCCCCATGCGTTGCCACTCCCCTTTCCGAGGTCGGCTGCATTTTCGAATCTCAGTGCGAACGCTATCTGTTTGGCGTCCACGTTCCTCGAAAAATATCGCTGACGTCTCTTTCTGGCTGTAGGACAAATGCCAATATTGCAGTCGCCAAGACCGAGCCGTCCTGCCCCATCACCCTTCAAAACTAAATTTGATGCGCAACGGGCTGTGCCACTGGCTTTCGAATGGTTGCATCTTTCACTGTTCCAAAACACCTTGTCAAAACGGCGACTTCGCTCGACTTATCTAGCGGGCCTAATCCAGGAAGGCTCGATACCACCGATTAGCCACACGGTAACATTCCAAAGTGTTTTCATCTCTCTAGCGGCATCCTGTCCGGGCGAAGGCTAAATTTCGCTGCACTAGGAAATTGCCGTATTCCGACGGCTATGAACCTCTTGCCCCACATCTAATCTGAAGCCTCGTCGGCAGCCATGAGCCGGTCCCGCGCTAGACCAAGCGAGCCATCGCAGCATCCGACGACAACGAAGAGAAGTCTAGCATCGGCAACCATTGGGAAAAACCATGATTCCTCCGAAAGAATTATCAACCAGTAATGGATCAGCTTACTGGCCACAGTCTGGGGGATAGCTCTGTCGGGGCCCGGTTGCAGCTGAGCAGCTGAGCAAGTGACAAACCAGGCCGCAGCACTGGATCTACTCAGATCTCTCCTTGCGAGAAAATTTGCTACCAGGTGAAAGCCTAGTTTGCCCCGGACGAAACATCAAATCTTTTTGTTTAGTAGCCACTAGTGGTTCTTTGTCTTGGCATGATTGAACATCTGCCTGGCCACTGCCTGTGTCCACGCAAGCAGCAAAAGCATACAGCTATACATTGAAGAATATGAGCCTGTGACCACATCTATTTCCCCCGGTACGGACTGATCCTGGACCCTTGGGTACGTGATCGAGCTGCCGCCTGTTCTCTCATCTTTGGTTTACCCATGCTCAAAGTCGAGCTACACTCATGGCAAGTATATGTAGCCCTCGGCCACTGGAAGTCATGCTGACGTGAGATGCATTGAATTTCAGCCCATTCTGGCCGTTCCCACGAATCCAATCAAAATGCTGTATTATGGCTGGCATTGGGAATCAATCTCAATGAGGCCACGAGCACGGTGGGCTGCAGACGACCATCTTGCGCAAGCCGCTTATTATCGATGGTAGATCGAGGATATCCAGGGGAAAACTGCTTTGGTCGTGACCCAATGCAGATAGCGATTCCATGCTGCCATCATGACCTGCTTCATGAGCCGAAGCTGGCAAGTACGTTCTCATCACTAACATAGTTGGGGAGCCAACTAACCATATTGCTAAATCGCTGGTATAAAGATGACCGTTTACCCAAACTATGCCATGCTCAGTGTAGCCGCAAGCCAACCGAATAATCCTTTCTGAATGTCACCGCTGAGTGGCACGGACTCGCCAGCAGAAGTAGCCTCGCGAAGCTCACGGCGAGCCAATTGCCGATTGATAATCCGGAACAGGCAAGGTTAGCTTTTGACACCGGATGGAGAAGGCGTGCTTGTTGGCTTGAATATAGCCGCCGATGCGTCACAGACGAGTCTGGGAACGACGCGCTGCGCGGCGTAAATTCACCGACCTGTCGCTCCCGCGGCAAGCGTTCGGTGGAGCAACTCGCCGATGGCTCTCAATTTCAAGACCGCTGGGTGCTGACTTCGCCCAACATACCCAACAGATCAGGGGGAAATAAGATCACCATTCCCAAGTGAGGTAGTCAAGAAGTTACTGTAACATCTCGCGTAGGGAAGATGGATACTCAGATAATGACTCGGAAAAGCACGCTCGTTGTGGTTGTGGTTGTGGTTGTGACTCAAGTGCAGACTAGATGATGAGCGAGATCTGTCGTTCCGACGAAGGTACAAACCGAATGCCCGGTGCCGGAATCGATCCCGTGCCGTCGCTTGAGCTGGGCAATTTCTACTGGACCAAAAAAGTAATTGTAAAGTCTCCGGATTTTTGCCTATCTATAGTCACATTGACTTCAACATATCAGGCCGTCATTCCCGCGGTCCAAAAAGTTGGTGCAATCAGTAACAAAAGTAGGTGACTGTATTATTTCCCTTCTTTCCGTGAGTAATTACGCCATGTGCCCGAAGGCGGAATATGACAGATGCGTGACGAACACGACACGCTAGTTTTGTAATACAGATCAGAAGGTATAAAAACGTTGCACATTTTATTCACGCATTGTTCGCTATTATCAATGAACAAATATATTCAGAAGTCAACTGATGAGCTAGGAACCCCGACATGTCCAATACCGAAGAGAACCTGGATGCTATGAGAGGTTATAAATCGTTAGTGGACTAATTGGCAACTAACGCTGAGGGTCTATGGGCAACGCTAACTACAAAATGTTCAATGCAGGGAACTAAACAGCCCAAATGTCTCAGATGAGGTAAAGGGACCCGATCAAGTACAGCTTGATCAAGACATTGGCCGCGACCAGTCCTGCAAAATGCTATCCAATGCTAGAGGTGGTCAAAACAAAGACTTAAGCAAAGTCCCTGCTGGACCTAAAGCATCAGTGCTGAAACCAAAGAAAGTGGCTACAGTGATGTGATATGGCTAACAACGCTAATTTACTGAAGAGCTCAGAATAGTCCTGGCGTAACCAAAATGGACAAGAAGAAGGCATACGAGGAACTGATTCGGATGGGTGGCGAATCTCCCGAGGAATAATGATCCCATTCCACGCGAGTAGTTCAATGTCAGCTAATACGGGGATCCTTAAGGTATCACTGCGATCACAATGTATAATGGGGGTAGTTTTATCTAGTTGCCTTAGCTTTTATGACTTAAAAAGAGCAATATTAACACGCTGCACCCAGGTGTCTCATAGAGTGCTTGAACTCCTTTATGGCCGTGTCGACGTCATCGAATGTTAACACAGAGAGCGCTCAGTGAGCATGTTTCTGTGCCAGAGAGATAGACTGTTCGTCGACCGACTGTGATGGTTGACTTGGTGATCCAGTGCGCACATGAGCCAGAGATGCACGTAGAACTGGAGGTGGACCGGACGGCACAGCTGTAGGATGCGGAATATGAGAGCTAGCGCCCGATAGCTCATCGAAGGAAGCTGGGCTGGTACGGCGACTGAAGAACTAATGGCTGGTGGTGGAAAGGGGTGCAGGGTACGCAAGGCATCGGCTCCGCTGAGGGTTGAGGCCCCGGGAATACCTGGTAGGTTTGGCACTGAAGAAGAGTACCCAATTGTCCCCGGGAATGAGGAGAGTTCTAAGTCTCCTAGTTGTGGGTTGCTGATGTCCTTTGTTCGCGCAGGAGAACCAGGGATATCGCCGAGTACAGAAAGAATATCATAATTCGACGTTGCAGGCGGCCACTGAAGGGATGAAACTCGGGAAGTATGAAGCGATTCATCAAGAGACAATTGCTGGGTCAGCTCCCGCGCTTTTAGATGGCCGGATTCTTCTGGGATTTCCTCGATTGGCGGCTGTCTGGATGGAGAGGGCTGTTCCGCTACCGATCCATCGAATGTTCGAACATCCTGACTGGCGATTGATTCTTGTTCTTCCTCTTCCGGAACAGGATTCGTCGCATTGGGATCTTCACCATTCTTTATTGCCTTCATAATTCGGACTGCATGATACTTTCCGAACTTGATCCTTCCGTCAATCTTCGGGTCCAGAGCCCCCCCAGATTTGACGTAGTTCGAGAAATAGAGCCGCCACCGGGAATATATCTGCGGTTTGCCTAGTAAAATCAGAGAAGAGACATGTTGGTAGCCACAGGCAACATTTGAGAGCTCACTTCGTGACCTTTCTAGCGTTCATAGCAGCTTCAGCGAGAGCAAAGACTTCCAACCCAAAGCGCTTCACCAGTGCACTCACCGCGACGCTATCCACCACCAATTCATCGCCAGAATGCTCGCTTTTGAACTATTCCACAGCGTCCTTGTCAGCCACGATCGTTGTCAGTCACGATAGTTGTCAGTCATATACAGAGCAGGTAAGGGGTCGAGTTGGGGGACTCGGCGAACCTGCTCAAGCTTATCCACCAGGTTGGTGGGTGTATATTTTAATTTCATCATTGAAATTATGAAGACCACGTTCTATGATCTGATTTACAACGTGAAAAATGCCTGCGATATTGGCGATTCAGTAAGCTCCAACATCTACTGCAGCATCCAGGGGGTTGAGACCCACACCAGTAGGCAATCACGGGCTTGGTCTTCTCGATCTGGGCTGCTCTCAAGGCAAAGAGGCCAATTTTAGTGGATCTCACCTCCACTGGAATAATTGTAGCCATGTCCGACGTGTGGGATAGGAAACTCCAATTCTCAGGAGCCCGAGTTTACATATTATTTTGTCATCCTGATACGCACTACCCATGAATTAGGGTCCGACCTGTACCTCTAATACCGGTCGTGAACAACAGAATTCCCAGACAACACAACCATCTCACAACACTTTACAAGAGGTTATGAGCCCTCATTTCTCATCATGAATGGCGAATCAAGACATAGTAAACTCATACGAACGAACTAATACTATTGGGGACTGGATGCCAACAATCAACTCACTGGCCTCTCAGCACCCTAGTGAAGGCACCGAGCCTGCTGACCCTGTCCAAATGATTTAATTTCAAGAATGCAGACTCTCTTCGTTCTTGAGTTCCCGCCAGCAAAATTTGTCCTCGGAACTGGCAATACTAGCAAAAAGAGGAGAACCATGTTGGTGAATCAAACAAATCTAGCGCTTATCATAACGGCTACCCATGGCTTTATTATGGTCCTTGACTTCTTTCGATTTTGATTTAGAGTCCAATTCGCCACTCTCGGTATTAGGTCCTTCACGGTGCATTTTGAGGCTGTAGTATTCATCATGACTTTTGGTTTCATCAGCTATGGAGGACGGCTTGGGCAGTTCTAAACAATTATATATTTGTGAGCTATCAATCCGAATTGCATAAGGTTCATGATAACAGGAGAGCAGAGCCATGCTCACTATATTCACCTTTGCTGTTCGAATCTTCTTGGTTTGGATCGACTTTCGATGACCTTTTGGTATCATGTTCATGATCCTTTGTGTTGGTTGCCATACCCTTGGACTCGTGTTGAAGGAAGATAGCTGATCTTGTAGTGCGGGCCATACTGTCTTGGCGGCAGCGACTTACCAACAGGCTTGTTGGCGCGCCTCGTGTGAGTCTCATTTGGTTTAGGATCTGCATTGTGAGAATGTGCAAAATAAGAATTCAGCGTAAATTTGGAATCAGCGAGTTCTTTGTCTTTGAAATGATAGTAGCATGGCGGTGGCAAAACTGAGGTCTTGTATCTTTGGGTGAGCTAACCATATGACGTCTCGGGTAAAGATAAGATTTCAGAGAAAGTATCACAGCCAGGGTACAGCCAATCGCTGAACCCTCTGTCGCCGCTACTCAGCAGACTGCCCGTCATGGGTAGGCCATAGAGTCACTCTTTAAGTAATGCCACATAAAAGCCCGGTCAATCTATTTAGACTTTATCATCTTTGCATTAAATGGGGTGAAAGTGTGCCCACTCGATGTTTGGAAGACAACGGGAGATGGGGGAAATATTGGAGGAGAGGAAATGATTTGACGCGGAGTTAATAGAGTTTCGTAGGATTCCGTACCTAGCTGAACTTAGTGTCTACTGAGTAGCCAGCTGTTGTTTCGTTCTTTGTAACCAATCTTTTATTTATGGCATATCCCAACACATCTCCCAATTGGTTCGGAGTCTCCCGACCTGTGAATTCCAACCTACCTCCCTCGCGGACGCCAAAAATCATCCATCGATCCGCCATGCTGCTACAATAAATACATAGCACATGTCTTTACATGCTAGAAGCAAAGAGTGCTCAATAGGTACCGCCCCAGGTTAGAAATTTGGCTCGATGATTCAACAAGCATGGGCCAACTTTCTTTCTCGGTAAATCACAGTTCAACATTTACCGATCACACAAGTTGATCTTCATTCGCCACCACAGACCCCACTTTGAGCGGGCTGAAAGTGTAATTCATTGCGGGCCAAACAGCATGTGTCAAGATGGCTGTCTGGTTTGCACTTAGCTTCGTCCCACAACGAGTCCAGCATGAGAGTCAATGGCTTCTCTCTCCTGCCTTCCCCATCTAATCTCAAAATTGCGAGGAACTTAGAAGTCCTGAGAAGATGTAAGGTCTTCCTGATAGCATACGATCCTCAACACCATTTCCAGCCGGCCCTTACTGAGGGTCCTTCGCCGCGCACGAGAACTGGTTCCGTTTCGGTCAATGTCGAGAACTCAGGTGCCTTGTCAGGGATAATATTTAACTGCTCATGGATTGACCCGTGTCTCACGTAAACCTTGTTCGAGATACTAAATTTTGAGCCTGTTATGTACATACTAGAAATAGGAGAGCTTCCCCGGAATCCTCTTTTTCGCAAAATCATCAAACTTCGTTTTCTTTTTACTGCTATCATGAAACCATTCCTCGCAGTTCTTGTCCTTGCTTTTGGGGTAGTCTTACCTGCTAACGCCCAAAACCAAGGGGTCACCACCACACTGCTTGATCAGCTCATCAGAGTCGCTACTATTTGCATGTCCACCTATGCAGGTGGCTTTTGTCTCGCCCCAAACGGGATTAGAAAGGTTGCGGATATCACCAACACTGCAACCGATGTTCATGGCTGGATACTCCGCGACGACAACGAGAAGGAAATCATCGTCGTTTTCCGCGGCACGCTGAGCCTTGAAAACTACAATTCGGACACAAATTATACACTGGCCAACTTTGATACATATCCCGACTGTACAGGCTGCCAGGTTCATGGGGGCTATTACTTGCTATGGAGTTCTATTTATGAGAATGTCCAATCTCTGATACAGGATCAGGTTTCCTCATATCCAGACTACGGACTTGTCATCGCTGGGCATAGGTGAGTATTGGGCACAAGGGCGTAAAATAACTGTCTTCGTATACTTACCACTATCACCACTAGCCTAGGTGGTTCTCTCGCTGCGCTCGCGGCTGCACAATTTTCATCCACTTTCGACAATATTACCGTGTACACAATGGGTGAACCTCGGACCGGCAATCCAGCCTTCGCTGCCTTCATCAACAACGTGTATAAAACTTCTAGCCCTAGCACTACAAGATTCTACCGGTGCACCCATACAGACGATGGAGTCCCACACGTCCCGCCGCAAAGCGATGGTTACCTCCACCACGGGCTCGAATATTATACTGTTGACCCAACAGACACAGGCACGACGTACATATGTGGAGATGATACAACAGAATGCAATGGGAAGTACAATACGTCGGGGATTAATGTCGCTCATCTGACTTATTTCGGTCGTACTGTTATCATAGGAGCAAAGTGTGTTTAAATCTGGCAAGGAAAAGAGCGGCTAAGTTGAAGGTATTCTGTTAGTGCACTAGCTATCGGATTCTTTTATCTTTTCGCCGAAGTAATAAATACTCTAAGTGTTAGGCACCATCACATTCTTCCGAAGCTTCATTCACTCCTTGCACACTTATCCTTGGCGTTTTGCCCTTCACGTATGAAACCATATCAAAGCCACGGAAATCTTCTTAAGCAGTTTTTGAATGGTTTGAAACCCCTGAAAATAAACTTAGCTATAAAACGAGAAAGATATAGGAGGGAGGAGGACGTGTGGCCATAGTTATGCTAATAAACGAGGGGGAGGGAACAGGCGCCGCAATCTGGCCTGCAGGGGGAAAGCAGAGGCAAGCAGGCGGTCGAGGGGGACATTGTGGCAACGCAATAGACGCCATTTCTAGCAGCAGCTGACCGTGTCAAACATTAATACAGCAATTTCAGTGTTTGATGCAGTTCACTAAGAACACACCGCGGAGCTCTTAAAAATATATATGTATAGAGCACGGCAACGTGGACTGCTACTTCTCCTTTCTTGTAGAGTCTCAAACCATTTGCTTTTCAGGTCATCATATTTTCTAAAACGTAGGCTATGATGTATGAACGCATGTCTACGAATTTGGCCAGAGTATGATAAGTGTTGATTGCTATTGGGGATTTGTTTGGCCACTGTATTTCTGCAAGCCTAATTTAAGTGCCTGGGTGCTTGTAAATGCTATACCTGCAGCAGAACCACCTGCAATTGAATGGCGAATTTGCCAACTATGAACACTGATCCGAATTCTTTTACTTCCTCTTCAGGCCTCTCGCTTCGAAGAATGCTAAGCCGTCAAAGATGCCACAGTTCAAATCGCCTACTGGTCGAAACTTGAGATTGGTCACGGTATTACCGCTGGCAGCCTCGCAACACTCCGTCCCCTCCTTCGCCATTGGCTCGGCTTATACGCAGACAAACCATATTCTGCTGGGGTTCCAGCAGAATCAATGGGTCGTCGTGCTCGTGCTAGTGGGCAGCGGCCAATACCTTTAGGGTCGTTGAATGGAAGTGAGCAGGGCGGGTTAAGAGGACCTGACAAATTGGCTGTTATGGTGACCAGCGTCGAGAGTCGAAAAGATTTACAAAGCTCATGGCCACGGCCATTCAGTCCAAGCAGTAGCGAAGGAATATTGACTGCGGAGCAACATTCGCTTCCAGGAACAATACAGGTGGGTGTCCATCAGACATTCGAGGTAACACGAACGGCAGCGGATGGAGATGATGGGGAAGGGTCTCACCGGATCGCGAGACAACATGTATAATATACACGGTAACCCTTATTAACGAAAATTTGGTCAAAAGTAGTTCCTTTGGCTTCGGGCGTGTGATTCTTTATATCAAGATCCGAATAAATTCGGCGTGGACCTTCATGAGCCGCGATGATGGTGTTTCAGGCTTTCAAGAGAGCCTGACCCTCAGGAGTACCACCTGTGTCCATAACGACGATGAAAGGCTTTGCACCCATGCAGCTGATTTCCGTGACCGACATTTTTGTTGCTATTCTGATCGAGATATCACGGAATCGATGGTCGTATGGGTGAAGTCTTCAGCGAGAAGAGCTTGCAGAGCGTTTGCGGAGGCGAAAAGGTGTTTTGAAGATCCCTCACTTCCGTTGACTTTTGGAGGATGATCGGTCAATCTATAGAGTCTTGCTGCTTGGAGAAGCGACCGTCAGCAAGCTGGAAAAGATCGTCTGTGAATTCAAGTAACATGTAAATACAGACGGAGAAACCTTCCACGGGCTTGGAAGATGCCACAAACCTTATTGACGCCACCATTCCTTCAAAATGCAAAAAACAAGTATTTTTATCCATGCGGCGGAGAAACAAACTCAAGCGGTGCATCACTTGCCTCACCCCTACCGCTTTTCCCATCACTCAACACTCGGGTAAAGGGGTAAAACCCTGTGTCTTCTTGGGCCGAACGGAAAGACAAACGCAATGGCAAGTGATTCCTAAAGGAGGAATAGACGTAGTTCTAGGCTCTGACCCCCACAGAAGAGAGCCCTGTCTCACCCTGATCCGATTCCGGTAAATATCGGGGCGAAGGTACCCGCTACGAACTCTTAATCCAGACAGCCTCCCTCTGTACTGGACCGTGTATTTTACATTTCGATGTGTGCAATTGTGTAATGGGACTCCTGTGTCAGATCAACCATACAGGCGGATTGAGAAACTGTCAACATGCTAACCGTAACATATAGTAAGTAGGGTTTCGATTAGAAATTTACAATCTTGTGTCGTTTAAAGACTATAGGCTACCAGTTAACAATGTCTAGATGTCGAATTATCGAATACAGGCTTTAAATAAGTCAGGACAGGCCTGTTTTGACCCTCTTGGATTTTTTGAGGGCCGGGTGACGGTTTATGTTTCTTCAATCAAAACCATTTCCGTTGGTCACAGGTATCTGTATTTCACTCACAATTCCAGAGTAGCTTTGAAGAATTTTTATAGGATAGTTGCTTCCTATATTGCTTGTCATCGATGCTTGTTAAATTTTAGTCAGAACTTGCATGCGACGGCCGGTACCGTTGGTTACATATATCAAGGCGTCAGAACTTTCAGCTGTTTTAGTTCAATAAACTATGAACATACGAAGACCAGTACGACGGTTCATGGTGGAAGGCTTGCTGATTTGTTATCTACTCTTACTTAAGGATGGACTCGCGGTTCTGACTTCTGCGACCACTGGGCCGATGGGTTGTTGACCGTGCCTCTGAGTTTTTAGGTAGATTTGGTCCAAGCATGCTTCATACCCTCCCTGGTCAGTAGAGGTAGAGCAAGGCAACGAAACATATTGCATTGGGCCATATAGCGCGAATTTATGGCTGGTCATCTATTCAAATGGGCTTTGCCGATGGTGACAGAATTTGGATAACTTTTCAGAACACTGAATGATATAAGTACAAAGATTGAGTGATTTATCGCAGAAAATGGAATGAGAAGTCTTCTTCTAAATAGCTCGGAGATAAAAAGTATGGCTATGTCACTGCTCGGAGCATCTGGTAGGCGCTGAGTTGCATAGTAATGGCCGTTCCAACTTCAACTTCAAATTCACCGTATGTGGAGACGCTTTCTCTTAGCTGCCCTTTGCTGGACGGCTGCTGGCTTTTATTTTGCCTATTATTCTTCCCATCGGTTGACGAAGAAAGACTCAGGAAGCTGAAGTTCTGGATGAACTCGTCTTTCAATAAACTACCCTCATTCTTCAGCAGCGGTCTTTTTGTTTGTTGGAATAGGCTACAATCATCTCTTGTCACTTCAATTCCGGTCTTGATCTGCCGTGAGCTTGGAACAAAAGATGTTTCCATGTGCTGGTAGATCAAATCTTCGCTATAATTTTAGGTAGTTAGACGATCGACGTTCATTTGGTAATTGAACAAGTATTAAAGAAGGAAGACTGAACTGGTTTAAGAGGGACGTATCTTTCGATAGGGACGCAGCAGATATGATGTCTCGAGTCCGACTTAGATGTAGGTAAGGAGACTTGGGAGTAGGACTTGACAGCCTTCTTAAGTTGAAGCGAGATATTGCTCCAGAAATGGATTTATTGAGCCCTTTCAAGCGTGTCTTGGACGCCTTTCGTGAATGCTTGGAAGCCCGTGGAAGGCATACATTTGACGGTAATAAACCAATGCCCAGAATTTGCCGCGCTTTCGACGATTCTCGTTCATCAAATCTCAGGGGCGGCATTATTTCCGTAATTGACGGGCACAGCGTGTTCTTGTGACCAGATTGAAAGCGAAATAGCTGTTTTTCAACCCATCCGCGGGATTAGAGACTGTAGCTTCTAAAAAATCTCAAGCCAAATCGAAGGGACCGTCTCCTAGAGACTTACCGTAAAGATCTAAACCGAATTGATTGAATTCAGTATCGCCAATATGCGGTTTATCTGAAGCGTGAAGAAGAAAGTAGATACAGGGGGGGGCAGTCTCGGAAACACCCCAAGGAGCTAGGCGTACACGTGACATAAGGGGCTGACCTGGACAAATATAAACTATACGTCTCATGTCCGTTAGGTACATTTACTTTCCTGCTTACTGTGGGAGTTACACATTGGAATGATAACCAAAATATCAACGACATCGCGTATACATGAAACGTGAAACAAGCTTGACGTAATGGTTCTAGATCACCTCTGAATCACTTCGTTGCTCTAGACAAGATCTCCGGGTAATGTAATAGATACGCAGTTCAATCAATACTTGACTGGGGTCTACATGTAGCCATAGGCCGCGAAGGCCTGAAGAATCAATCAATCAATTGCAGGTACCGACCTACAGCCCATGGGGAGTTTCTATCGACGCCAAACCCGCACTTGGCGAGGTATACCTCCTGCACTGTTCCACAGGAGTCAGCTGCTTACTTCTGGTCACATCTCATCAATTATCACACAGTGAAGACTATGTTTCGTACCTTTGGCCTTCCCTCTATACACCAGAACTTTTCAATATCCAGACACATTGCCTGACTGCAGGGCAGCGTGAATGGGCTCTATCTAATGCTACTGGCCATTGGCCAGTGGCCAATGCCTTTCTACACTATACAGCAGCGACAGGTGATCCGTTATGGCCGAACTGTATTCTCTTTTTCCTCTTATATTGTGCAGGGCTGTCAATGTCAGATAATTTTATTACCTGAGCCCGAACACTTGTGGCTGTTACGATATTAAATTGTAATAAATGGGGTTTTAAGATAATCAGCCAATATGCAGGTGACAGGGATCGGAAGTGGGCCAGAGCTAGCCGCATTTTTATATTAACTTTTGTTCACGGGCTGCCGGCAAAATATTACCCGTTCGGGAGCATTCTCTCGATCCGTCAATCACCCTCAACTGGTATTGAGCGATCACAGGGGTTTGTTTCATCCAGCTGTGTATGGTACCATACTGCCCAAAAAATGGGTGGCCGATGAATAATCCTATTTTGAAAAGTCCTAGTCAGGTTGACCAT